TTTGTTTGTTTTTTTGAGACAGGGTTTCTCTGTATAACCCTGGCTGTACTGAAACTCATTCTGTAGACTAGGCTAGCCTTGAACTCAGAGATTGGCCTGCCTCTGCCTTCCAAGTGCTGGGATTAAAAGCGTGCACAGGCTACAAAAGAAAAATTTTAAGTTATATATAACATATATAAATATATACCTGATTATTATGTTCCAAGCCTTGAGAATATGGCAATGAACAGACTTGATTTTTAAAAATGTCCTCAGGTCAGGAATGGTGGTGTGTGTCTTTAATCCCAGCACCCAGAAGGCAGAGGCAGTTGGATTTCTATGAGTTTCAGGTCAACCTGATCTACAGAGTGAGACTCTGTCTCGAAACCCCTGACCCCCACCCCTCCACATGCCTTCCCTAAATAAAAAGGATAGTGTGTGTGGCAACAAATGCCTATAATCCAAGCTGCTTACAGAGGCTTCAGTACAAAGATAGAGAGTTGAAGCCTGCCTGGGAAACATGGCAAGACCTTGTCTCTAAATAAACAAACAGTTAAAAAAAAAAAAAGGATGAAGAAAAAGTCTAGGCTGTCTGACTTCAGTTCCCTGAATGAAGTGCAGACCTGTGGTAACAGGCAAGCAGTGAACAGGGGAAAGTAACTCCAAAGAAGATTAGTAGTCTATGCGTACATGAGGGTCTGAATTAGAGTAATACAAAGCAAGACGTGATAGAAATAGAAATTTCCAAACAACAAGGATGGGAACTTTTTGACAAAGTTCTCTCAAATCTGAGGTCAATCAGGAAAAAGGATTAAGGTGGGATTCATATCACTAGATTGCATTTACTAAATAGACTTTAATTCTCTGCCTCACAAAGCAACCCTTTTGCAGACTCTGTGGAGTAGTTATGAAAATGGCATGTGCATTAAAGAACAAAGAAACTAGGACAGGCCTGATGGCGCATGCCTTTAATCCCAGCACTCAGGAGGCAGAGGCAGATGGATCTCTGTGAGTTCGAGGCCTGTATGGTCTACATAGCTCCAGGACAGCCAGGGCTGTATAGCTGAGACTTAGTCTTAAAAAACAAACAGATGGGGGCTGGAGAGATGGCTCAGAGGTTAAGAGCACTGCTTGCTCTTCCAAAGGTCCTGAGTTCAATTCCCAGCAACCACATGGTGGCTCACAACCATCTGTAAGGAGATCTGGTGCCCTCTTCTGGCCTGCAGGGATATGTGCAGACAGAACACTGTATACATAATAAATAAATAAATCTTAAAAAAAAAAAAAAAAAAAAAAAAAAAAACAAACAGATGAAGGAATAAAATGATACAAGGTGTAAGGGCACTCTCCTCAGCAAACAGGCTGGGAAAACAAGATTACTGTCACACGTAGAACTATGACCAAACAGACCAAAGATGTACAGATTTCCTAAAAGAAAACATGGGGAACACTGTAACATTGCTCTTAACAATGATTCAACAAAAGCAAAAATAGACAAACTTCAGACTGCAAAGTTTCTATTATAGCAAAGGAGTCTATACACAGATAAGGCAGCTACAAAAATGGGAGAAAACATCTGTAAACCACTAGGATCAGGGTTAGTAGCCATATTACCTAAAGAGCTCAATGCAGTGAAAAGACAAACTGATTAGAAAATGGAAAAAGAGGGCTGGAGAGATGGCTCAGAGGTTAAGAGCACTGGTTGCTCTTCCAAAGGTCCTGAGTTCAATTCCCAGCAACCACATGGTGGCTCACAACCATCTGTAATGAGATATGGTGCCCTCTTCTGGCATGCAGGGATATGTGCAGACAGAACACTGTATACATAATAAATAAATAAGTCTTAAAATTAAAAAAAAAAAAAGAAAATGGAAAGACACTTAAAGAACTGCTCAACACCCTTAGCCATCAGGGAAATGCAAATCGAAACAACTCTGAGATGCCATCTTACACCTGTCAGAATGGCTAAGATCAAAAACACTGATGACAGCCTATGCTGGAGAGGGTGTGGAGTAAGGGGGGCACTCCTCCATTGCTGGTGGGAGTGCAAACTTGTACAACCACTTTGGAAATCAGTATGACAGTTTCTCAGAAAACTGGGAATCAATCAACCTCATGATCCAGCAACACCACTCTTGGGCATATACCCAAAGGATGCTCAATCATACCACAAGGACACTTGCTCCACTATGTTCATAGCAGCCTTATTCATAATAGTCAGACCTAGAAACAACCTAGATGCCCTTAAACTGAAGAATGGTTAAAGAAAATGTGGTACATTTACACAATGGAGTATCATTCAGCTGTAAAAATAAATAAATAAATAAAAATAACATCATGAAATTTGCAGGCAAATGGACAGAACTAGAAAAAACCATCCTGAGTGAGGTAACCCAGACCCAGAAAGACAAACACGGTATGTACTCACTCATAAGTAGATATCAAGTGTAAAGCAAAGGATAACTAGGCTACATTCCACAAACCCAGAGAAGCTAGGTAACAAGGATGACCCTGAAAGAGACATCATGGATCCCCCTAGGAAAGGTAAATAGATAAGATCTCCTGAGTAAATTGGGAACATGGTGCAAAGGGCAGGAGGTAAGGGGGGGTGGCAAGAGAACATGAGGGAAGGGATGGTCGAGTTGGGGGAGGGATGGAGAGGGAGAGCAGGGAAAGAGATGTCTTGATGGAGGGGGCCATTATGGGGTTAGGGAGAAACCTGGTGCTGGGAAATTCCCAGAATCCTCAGGGATGACCCCAGCTAAGACTCCAAGCCGTAGTGGAGGGGGTGCCTCAACTGGCCTTCCCCTCTAATCAGATTGGTGACTACCCTAATTGTCATCATAGAACCTTCATCCAGTACTAATGGAAGCAGATGCAGAGATCCACAGCTAAGCACTGTGTGGAGCTCCCGGAGTCCAGTTGAAGCAAAGGAGGAGAGATTATATGAGCAAAGGGGACAAGATCATGATGGAGCTAATGGGAGCTCACTGACTCTGGACTGACAACTGGGGAACCTGCATGGGACCGAACTAGGCCCTCGGAATGTGGGTGACAGTTGTGTGACTTGGACAATTTATGGGGCCACTGGCAGTGGCACCAGGATTTATCCTTCGTGCATGAACTGGCTTTTTTGGAGCCTATTCCCTATGCAGGGATACCTTGCTCAACCCCAGTACATGGGGGAGGGGCTTAGTCCTGCCTCAACTTGATATGCCAGACTTTTGTTGACTCCCCATGGGAGGCCTTTCCCTCTCTGAGGAGTGGATGAGGGGTGGGGAGATGGGGGAGTGGGAGGAGGGGAGGGAGGGGCAACTGTGGTTGGTATGTAAAATGGAAAAAAAACTTTTAAATAAAAAAAGAGAGAAAGAAAATAGGCAAAGGACTTGAGTAGACATTTCTTCCAAGAGGATATGCAAATGACAAAAAAAAAAAAAACAGGGAAGGGTGCTCAGTATCAATTATCAAGATACCATCTCATACCCACTACCATGGCCTCTATTAAAACCCAGAAAACTATAACAAGCCTTGGCCAGGATGAGGAGAAAAGAGCCTGTGCACACTGTTAAAGAATAGAAAATGATACAGCCACTAAAAAAAGACCATTTCAAAGTTTCCTCAAAAAAGTAAATGAAGGGGGCTGGAGAGGTGGCTCAGAGGTAAGAGCACTGGTTGCTCTTCCAAAGGTCCTGAGTTCAATTCCCAGCAACCACATGGTGGCTCACAGCCTTCTGTAATGAGATCTGGTGCCCTCTTTTGACATGCAGACATACATGCAGGCAGAACACTGTATACATAATAAATAAAAAAAAAAGTAAATGAAGCTAGGTGGTGGTGGTGCACGCCTTTAATCTCAGCACTTGGGAGGCAGAAACAGGCAGATCTCTGAGTTCAAGGTCAGCTTGGTCTACAGAGTGAGTTCCAGGACAGCCAGGGGTACACAGAGAAACCCTGTTTCCAAAGAACAAAACAAAACAAGAAAACAAAACCAACAACAAAAAATGAAAAAGTAAATGAAGGGCTGGATATGACTCTGTGGTTAAGAATGCTCACTGCTCTTGCAGAAGCCCTGGTTCGGTTCCCGTACCCACACCTCACAATTTGCAACCGTCTACACCTCCAGTTCCAGGGGATCCAACGCCCTCTTCTGCCCTTTGCAAACACCAGGCACACACGTGGAGCACAGAGACACACGCAAACAAAACATCCACACACACAAAATAAAATAAATTTTGTTTTGTTTTGGTTTTTCGAGACAGGGTTTCTCTGTGTAGCTTTGGAGCCTGTCCTGGAACTCGCTCTGTAGATCAGGCTGGCCTCGAACTCACAGAGATCCGCCTGCCTCTGCCTCCCAAGTGCTGGGATTAAAGGTGTGCGTCACCACTACCTGGCAAAATAAGAATATTTTTTAAAGGTAAATAAAGAATGACTATTTGTTCCAACCATCTCAATTCTAGGTAAAGACCCAAAGAATTACCATTAGGATCTGGAAAGATAACTGCCCTACTATGGTAACAACAGCTGGTTTAGGTCACCCACTCCGGTGTTCACCCATCAGTTGGATGAACTGGCAAACAAAATGCAGCACAGTAGAATACTCAACTTATAAAGGAAGATCTACATAGGAAGTTTGAAGGGGCATATAAAGTCCCAATTTAAAAAAGAAAAAGAAATTCTGACACACTACAACACGTACTCCCCTTGACTTTATGCTCCGTTAAAGTCAAACATAGAGATATCAAGCCTTCTTTCGGAACTCATTTCTTCCATGGAAGAAAGCTAGCTGTGTCAGGTTCTTTTACAAAAGCTGAGCTGCTGAGAAGTTCTCATTTCTAAGAGATAGAAGGTGCAATTTTAACACTTATAACAGGGACAAACCTGGTCACCGGGCGGGGCCTCGGCACTCCCCCCCGGGGGCGGGGCCTACGCGCGAGGAGGAGCCGCGTCGTGACGCAGTGACGAGAGACGCCGGCGCCTCAGTGGGTACGGGTGGGACGGCGCCCCCTGCGGCCGGGCCGCGGGCTCCGGGGGTGCGGGGGTGCGGGGGTGCGGGCGGCAGGCAGGGCCGGCGTGGCCCCATGCTGCTGCCGCTGGCCTGCCTGCATGGGCGGGTGGCGCAGTGCCTAACCTCCCTGCTGGTGCTCGCAGAGCCGCTGCCCAGGCCCCGGCGCGGCGCGAAGGCGCGCTGCGCCGCGCCGACCAGTGTGGAGGCGGCCCCGGACGGAGCCACGATGGCCGCAGAACTGTACCCGCCCGCCCGCGCCTCCGCAGCGACTGCCACCGACATCGCCAACAGCAACGCGGCGGGCGCGGCCGTGGGCAGGAAGGTCGGCCTTTGCTGCCCGCCCTGCCTGGCGCCCGCCCCGCTGCCGCCCTTGCCCGCGCCGCCCGCGCCAGACAACAACAATCTCGAGAGCCCCAACTGGCAGTCCTTCCACCCGACGCTGCGCGAGAGGTGAGCCGACGCCCGCCCCCGGGCTCTGGAGCCTGGGCGCGCGCGCCGTTCCAGCCCGTGTGCCTCTCCCCCTTGCAGGAATGCGCTCATGTTCAACAACGAGCTGATGGCTGACGTCCACTTCATCGTGGGAGCCCTGGGGGCAGCCAGGCGCGTGCCCGCCCACAAGGTGGGTAGGGGCACAGCCCTGTCCCCTGGCGGGCCTAGCTAAACGCAGTCTTCCTGGACCGTCTTTACAGCCCTGTAGCTCAGGTGACTTTCTTTCATTCACAGTACGTCTTGGCTGTCGGCAGCTCCGTCTTCTATGCCATGTTCTATGGGGACCTTGCAGAAGTCAAGTCAGAAATCCACATTCCTGACGTCGAGCCTGCCGCCTTCCTGGTCTTGTTAAAGTAAGTGCTCTATTCTGGGGCTGGAAAGATGGGGTGCTTACCTTCCAGTGGTCCCCTACATGTTTCCTATAATCCGAGAGGTTGTGCATGGGAGCCCATGAGCTCCTCTTTGAGGCCAGCCCTTGCAGTTTCCCAGAAGAGTCCCTCCTGTCTTATTACCCAGGTACATGTACAGCGATGAGATTGATCTGGAGGCGGACACAGTGCTCGCCACTCTATATGCTGCTAAGAAGTACATTGTGCCTGCGTTAGCCAAGGCCTGCGTCAACTTTCTGGAGACAAGCCTGGAAGCCAAAAATGCCTGTGTCCTGCTATCCCAGAGCCGACTGTTTGAGGAACCTGAACTGACCCAGCGCTGCTGGGAAGTCATTGATGCACAGGCTGAGATGGCTCTGAGGTCAGAAGGCTTCTGTGAAATTGACCGGCAGACCCTGGAGATCATTGTGACGAGGGAGGACCTCAACACCAAAGAGGCTGTGGTCTTCGAGGCGGTCCTGAACTGGGCTGAGGCAGAGTGCAAGAGACAGGGCCTCCCTGTCACCCCTCACAACAAGAGGCATGTTTTGGGAAGCGCCCTCTATCTAGTCCGAATTCCAACTATGACCCTAGAGGAGTTTGCCAACGGGGCTGCCCAGTCAGACATCCTGACCTTAGAGGAGACCCACAATATCTTCCTCTGGTACACAGCTGCCAACAAGCCCCTCCTTGACTTCCCCCTGACCAAGAGGAAAGGCCTGGCTCCACAGAGGTGCCACCGCTTCCAGTCTTCTGCCTACCGAAGTAACCAGTGGAGGTACCGTGGGCGCTGTGACAGCATCCAGTTTGCAGTGGACAGAAGGGTGTTCATTGCTGGACTGGGCTTATATGGGTCCAGTTCTGGGAAGGCCGAGTACAGTGTGAAGATTGAACTCAAGCGGCTAGGGATGGTCCTAGCTCAGAATCTCACCAAGTTTGTTTCAGATGGATCCAGCAACACATTCCCCGTCTGGTTTGAGCACCCAGTCCAGGTGGAGCAGGATACCTTCTACACGGCCAGTGCTGTCCTGGATGGCAGTGAGCTCAGCTACTTTGGGCAGGAAGGGATGACAGAAGTGCAGTGTGGAAAGGTAGCCTTCCAGTTCCAGTGCTCCTCGGACAGTACCAATGGGACTGGAGTCCAGGGTGGACAGATTCCAGAGCTCATCTTCTATGCCTGAGGTGTAGTGGTTGGGGTGGACTTGCCACCAGGCTCTTCTCCATGGAGTCTACCTAGTAAGTGCAGTGGAGGTGCAGGACACTGCCTACTGCCTTACTGGTACCATTAAAGGCTTGGCTTACTCTATCAGCCTGAGTCTGAAACAGATGACTTCTCTTTACAGCCACAGCCTAGGAACTGAATTGCAGATGTCCCCTGACCCTGACATGGTATTCCACAGATGGAGGACAGACTTGGGTCCAAGGTAGTCCCAGGTCCCTGCCCAGTGGGCACCCAAGCTTCAGGACCCTTGGGTTTTCCTCCCATTCTTTTGGATTCTAAGTGGCTCCAGCCTACCTTGAGGCCTTCTATTCAAGCCACAAGTTGCTGAAAAGTCACTTAAAATAGTTCCATCCTATTTAAGTGAATTTTCATAATAAAGGTTTCAACAGAACAAGAGCCACTTGTAGATAAGTGACTGTAGGAATTATTAACGGGGCATTCTCTTTCTCATTCTACCGAGAACATCTTGTCTGTATGAAGTCTGCAGTGCAAAGCAGTTAAAACCAAACCCTATCTCATCTATGCCTGTGTGGCATCTGGGCTGTCTTCCTCTTAAGGGCTGTAGCTAGCATTCTGCAGAAGGCCACATGTCTGGGTGATTTGTTTGTTTTTGGTTTTTTTTTTTTTTTGAGACAGGGTTTCTCTGTGTAATTTTGGTGCCTGGATCTCATGCTGTAGACTAGTCTGGCCTCGAACACACAGAGATCCTCCTGGCTCTGCCTCCTGAGTGCTGGGATTAAAGGTGTGCGCCGCTGCCCGCTGCCCGGTGTGGTTGTGTTTGTTAAAGCACCTCAGGGTTCTACTGCAGGGGTCAGATGTAAGGAGTGGACTGTCTGTGTGCTGTGCTGCCTGCTGTGGGGTGTTGTGTGGGTAAACAAGGATCCATAGGCCCAGGCCTCTATCCTCTCCTGCAGTTGTTTTGTCCTGGAAAAGCACCTGACCTTCAAAGGCCCACTAGCACAAAGGCAGTGGTCTCTGGGGAGAGAGTATGTGTCCTAGCCCAGTGTGCCTAACACCAGAAGCCTAGCCCTGTTGGGATTCCACTCTATCCTCCCAGACCCTCTGCTTTAGCCCTCTGAGTTGATACTTCAGAAACCATGAAAACCCCATCCCTGCATATGGGAAGGGCCATGGCTAGAGGGCACCTGTTTCTGGAACTTCTTCCCTCAAGTATTAGGAGGCCCCTGCCTTTCTCAAGGTATCTGCTAGGGTCCCAGCATGAAGCATTATGCTCTTCCCTTTGGTCCTGAGCCACATTTGACAGGCAGTGGTGGGAAGCCGCCTAAGTCTGCACCAAAAATAAAACCCTACTGGCTGTATTTCCCACAAATTTTAGGAAACATTTCTTACCTTTAGGGCTCTGTACTTTGACCTGACATCCCTGTGCTCTGAGCACCTTAGCATGTTAGTTTCCAGAGGTGGTATTATCTGAGCCAGCCTACCTATAGCCGGTGCGTTGATGCAGAGCTCCCTTGCCAAGAGCAGGAACGTCTTCCCCAGCACGTACACATTCACCTGTGACAAAAAGAACACAACTAGGAATGAACTGCTATTCAAGGAAACATTTGCTGCTTTTTCTTTTTTAATAATTTTTGTTGTTTTGTTTTGTTTTTCAGACAGGGTTTCTCTGTGTAGCCCTGGCTGTCTTGGAACTTGCTCTGTGGACCAGGCTGGCCTCGAACTCAGCCTCTCCTCTGGAGTGCTGGGTAAAGGCGTGCACCACCACACCCTGCTCAGGGCTGTTTTCTTAACGTGCCTGTTCCACTGTACAATCTTCAAAGAACCCATTGCCAGAGCCCCCTGCTGGACTGTGGAGAATCCACTCCATGACCTTCCGCTGGTCTCCACACCAGGAGGGTCAACCTTCTTCCTATTTGGCTGCCTAGACTTCCCCAATCTTGTCAGTGGTTGCTTAGAAAAGTTCTGTGAGGGTACACTAGAGTATGGTAACACAGTACAGAGTTATGTCTAATTCTGAATCAACACAAGACTGGTACACAACACAATGGCTACACTTCCTCTACCTCACAGTCCCATAGATCTCTGTTTACTTGCTGGAATCCCAATTGTTTCCTCCACTACCCTCACCTCAAGTCCTTATCTGCCATGCAGCCTGCTGGCCACCTGCCATAGCTCTTCTTTGCCAGAGGAGGTAAGCAATAGGAATAAGTCCAGCCTAGAAAGGCTGTGCCAGGGGTTGGAGTGGTAGGAGTACTATCAGTTGTCGGGAAAGCAAAGGTTTAGCCAGTGTACAGAACCCCTAACGTGCAGTTCAGTATCAGTGCAGCACTGTATGGATTAGCCTGGGATACTCAGGCCTGCCCCAACCCTAGAGGCTCCTCCCATCCTCAGCTACCTGAAAACCCCACTGCACTCATGCCAGGCTGCTTCTTGGACTCCTGGGCCTTACAGATATGACTGTTCTAGCCTTCTGCCTCTGGCCTCCTCAAAGAACTCCCTCACCTAATCAAGCCTAGCCTGTGGGACCTCTAAGCCCCCTTTCTTGGCATGAAGGTGATACCCCCTGGATGTTGACATATGTCAGGAGACAAAGTCTAAGGGATGATACACAATGGGGTCTTCATTACATGAAGGACTAGAAGGAGAGAGTTTGTGACTTGTCAACTTGGTACGTCAACCCAACTGAGAAGCTGCCATGGCCTATCAGCAGTGGGCTGGTTACCTTCCACCCTGGCTAGATACAAGTATCTTCCTGAGGCCTTCACGAGGACTGGTGGGTCAAAGTGCACGTTCTGAAGTAATTCTACCTGTCTGCAGTTTCAAGGGTCATCTACAAAACTATGGTGTGCATGACTATCTGACCTGTGAGTATTCATGTATGGAAACATGGGAGCATGTGTTGTAAGCATATGCACAAGTCACATGGTATGTAGTCTGTGTTCAAGTATGCAAGTAAGTGTGCTCCTATAGGAGTACTCTGTTCCTGAAGCATCCTTTCAGGTTCCCACAGACATCCAGGGCTCCACTCCAGTGGTATGGGCCAAAGCTGGCCTTGACCTCCATCTACCCACCTCAAACTCCTTCACTATCTTAACCTTGGGTTCCAGATGGATATGTCTGACGATGAGAATGAATAGACTTCAAGTGTAAGTCCAAAGTTTTAACACTTTCCAGGGGATGGAGAGATGGCTCCATGGTACAGAGCTCCGGCTTCTCATGCAGAGGCCTGGGGTTTGGTTCCCAGCACCGACATGGTGGCTCACAACCATTTCTAACTTCAGTTCCAGAGGATCCAACACCCTCTTTTGGCCTCTATGGGTACCAGGGACACAGGTGGTTCATACACATACATGTAGGCAAATGCTCATACAAATAAATCTAAAAGAAAAAAAATTATCTTAAAGAATACTTTCTAGAGACAGTTTTTTAAGCACCTGAGACTACAAGTGTGTACCACTGTGCCTGGCTTCTAGGCATACGAATACTGGTAGGTACTGTTAGACATCACTACATTGACAATTCATTCTCCTACGCTTGTGGCTGATGGCTGTCTATCTGCCTTTGGCATTCATGTGACTAAGGAAAGAGTGAGGCTTTAAATTCAGGGTCTCTGCCAATTCTACTCTTTGACTCCTTTCTTCAAAGCAGCCAGTTCCACCAGAGGCCTTCACTGACATGGGCATGAGCCCCACCCAGGTAAGAGCAAAAGTGTCTTGTCTGAAGGTCAGGCAAGGCCTGGCCCCAGGGAGATCTTAAAAGAAACCAAAGAACATACTGTGATGCTCTGGGGCAGGGACAGCCTTGTATGGTCCTCCCCTGCATGCCCCCTCACACTCCATTTGCCAGCATAGTTCCACCAAGAAGAGTAGTCTGTAGTCACTCAGACTACACAGCTGGCCAGACTTCAGCCTTTCCTGGTGGCATGCCACCTTCTATCCTGACAGGCTGGGCTGTTTTCCCATTTCCAAAGCTGTGAAGCCAAAGATGACTGGTGCACCTGTTTTCCTCTAAGAAGTGTCCAAGCTACTTCTGGCACTGCCCTGGCCCCCATCTTTTCTAGGAGGCTGGAATCAGATGGAAACAGTCATGTGGCCATGCTCTGAACTGAGTACAATACATTCAAAGGTGGAGTCAATGGATTATCGCAATTCCAACAGGTTATTTTTAGCCTGACCAAAAAATATTTCAGCAATAGCTTCTGAGAGATGTCATTTATAAAGACAGCTGGGAGGACAAAAATACAAGGCACCATCTGACTGGAATCTAACTGTTAGTCTTTGGGGACACTGAGTCATGAGTAACCAGGAGCAGTAGCCTGGGCGATGGGTTCTCAGGACCCCTGGAGGTTTCCTGATCAGGGTTTCCATTCAGGATGGACTTGTGGGCATTCATTCTACTTCCTGGTCCATAATGTCACTGTGGCTCTCAGGGAGTGGTCTGGGGACTTCAGTTAGTCTCCATCCAGCCGCCACACACAGTATGTCAGTGGGGCAACAGTGCAGTCTCCGTGTCCCTCTCTCCTTCGCTGCCTTTGAAGGTAGCTAGGTGCATCTTCTCAAGATGTTCAGTTACTTAGAGGTGAACAGTGCACCGGACATTGTGGCACACGCCTTTAATCCCAGCACTGCAGATGCAGAGGCAGGCAGATCTGAGTCCCAGGCTCACTCGGGCTACATGAGACCTGATCTTAAAAACGACAGAAACAAGCAACACAACAAAACCACTTTATCTGAATCTGGAAAACCAATGGTCCTAAACAGACTCTACGTATGAGGGTTTCCCAGAGTCTGAAATGCATGCAATGGGGTCCAATATTCCCTTAAAAAAAGAACCTTCATGGGGCTGGAGAGATAGCTCAGCGGTCAAGAGCATCTGTCTGCTCTTCCAGAGGACCTAAGTTCAATTCCCACAACCACATGGTGGCTCACAACCATCTGTAACGAGATCTGGCACCCTCTTCTGGTCTGGAGGCATACATGCAGACAGAACACTGTATACATAATAAATAAATTAAATCTTTTTTAAAAAAAAAAAGAATCTTCTTTGCCTTAGACTAAATTTCACAAAGGTCTCTCAAGTGATTCTAAGGCTGAGCCACTAGGCCCTAATACTGTGGCTGTGAGATGCCCTCTCCTACTGAGGCCCCAAGCTCTGGCCACACAAGCTTCACCACTCTGAACACAAAGGCTGCGCACTACAGCAAGCAGCACAGATTGGTCTTCAGGTTTATGGAAGCACAGGCTGTGGCCCTATAATGCCCTCAGGGCAGAAAGACTTAAGGAAGGTGATCTACCTGGAGCAGGTCGCTGAGGTCAAGGAGCATGTCTGCAGCCAGAGTTAAGGAGTGTTTGCATGGAGGCTACCAGGGCTGCACACCCAGGGAGCTAGACGTCATCTGTCAGATCCAAGCTCCTCATCTGACCAGAGAGGAAAAG